TAATGAAAGTGTACCCATTGATGAATTTGTTAAGGATACACATAATAGGAATCTCTGAGTCTCAAAATGATGATACTATGCATATTGTAACCTACCATTATATTCAATAATGTAATGAACAAGAGTTCTCTAGATATCAACATAAAATATATGATAACTATGTCTACTTAACTTTTGTATGTCTTCATTATTTATGGCTGTTAAACAGATAATTTCAAATTCTACCATTATGTGTAGTGTCCACTGGCAATAAGTAAATTCTTAGAAGATAATCCTTTCTCAACCTAGAATTCATTTATAGTTTATTTGTAGAGTGGAACCTAAGGCTTTTGCCAGAGTGTAGTAAGAGTTGTTATGCATGTGAAGGGTGGTATGTAAGGGTCTGACTGCCTGGAAGCTAGGAGTGCAGTGTAGAGTGAGAATGCTGATTGATGTCATCTTATCATCCCTGGGGCTCAAAGGGTCATTTGTTCTGTGGTTGCTATTTATATATTAAGGATTTCTTTTTAGTATTGTATTCTGCTTGCATTTTTCTCAGATTTGGAGTTCTAACAACTATTTAATATTTCTTCGAATTTCAGAATAAGCATCATTCCATTCAGTCAGTCTCTGTCTCAAAGGTTCCGTGTAGCACAATGAGTTTTAATGTAGTTCTTTTCAACACCTTTCTTTTTTTCATTGTGTGGATACTCTTGCTTGGCTTTTTCACTCAAAGCTTACACTTGAGCCATGTCTTCAGTTCCAGATTTTTGCTTGTTAATTGGACATAAGAGTCTCTTGAATTTGTCTTCCCCAAGCTGGCTTCAAACCACAGTCCACAGATCTTTTTTTTTGGGGGGGGGTCCGGTCATGGGGCCTGAACTCTGGGCCTGGGCACTGTCCCTCAGCTCTTCAGCTCAAGGCTAGCGCTCTACCACTTGAGCCACAGCGCCACTTCGGGCTTTTTTCTTTTTTGGGTATGTGGTGCTGAGGAATCGAACCCAGGGCCTCATGCTTGCAAGGCAAGCGTTCTACCACTGAGCCACCTTCCCAGCCCCCAGTCCTCAGATCTTAAGACTCCTAAGTAGTTAAATCAATGCTCAGCACAACGTCTGTTATGAGATATACCTGATAAATATTTACAGTGCACAGTTGGATAAATTTAACATAAACATTATATACTTATGACCTATCAACACTACCCATAGTAGTACACATATCTGTCATCCCCAAAGTGTCCCTTTGGGAATCTCTACTTCCTGTTGCCTCCATAGCTGATGCTGCTGGTTTGCTTTATGTCACTACAGGCTAGCCTAGCTTTCAATGAAGTAAAATTTGTTTATCAAGTCATACAGTGAAAGTATGTTGAGAATTATCCGTTTCAATTTACATTTTATATTTAAAATGTAACTCCACTTAAGTTTCTAGGTAGGAGATAGTTGTTTAAAACTTAACCTTTATGAATTTGGTTGAGAAATTTCTTTCTTTCTTTCTTTCTTTTTTTGTCGGTCGTGGGGCTTGAACTCTGGGCCTGGGCGCTGTCCCTGTGTTCTTCAGCTGAAAGTGAGCGCTCTACCACTTGAGCCACAGTGCCACTCCGGTTTTCTAGTGATTCATTGGCGATAAGAGTCTCACAGAGTTTCCTGCCCGGGCTAGCTTTGAACTGCGATCCTCAGATCTCAGCCTCCTAAGTAGCTAGGATTACAGGTGTGAGCCACCAGCGCCTGGCTGAGAAATTTTTTAATACTAGTTTTACTGAAAAAAATATTACAAGATTGCTATGCTATATATTGTCCTTGTGAAAAGTCAGCTCCAGTAACTGAATTGTACTCAGGTAAAGTACCTCACGTGTTTCAATTGAAAACCTTAGGCTTCTAGCCAGATGTCACATTAGTTCAGTGCTATAAGGCTTTTTGGGGCTTTTTTAAATATTAAGTATTATATTTACTTTGAGAAGTGCCATATGTCTAGTGATATTGCCGTAGTTGCTAATTACAGATTTATTTTAATTTGCAGGTTCCTTCCAGTGTTCAGTTATGGGTGTGAGAGGCTTGCAGGGATTTGTAGGAAGTACCTGCCCTCATGTATGTACAGTGGTGAATTTCAGAGAGCTGTCAGAACACCACCGAAGCACATATCCAGGATGTACTCCTACCATTGTGGTGGATGCCATGTGCTGTCTCCGATATTGGTATACTCCAGAATCTTGGATCTGTGGTGGCCAGTGGAGAGAATACTTTTCTGCTTTGCGTGATTTTGTTCAAACCTTTACAGATGTTGGTATCAAGTTGGTATTCTTCTTTGATGGCATGGTAGAGAAGGGTAAGAGAGATGAGTGGGTGAAGCGGAGACTTAAGAACAACAGAGAAATATCCAGAATTTTCCAGCATATCAAGTCACACAGGGAGCAGCCAGGCAGAAACATGTTCTTTATTCCTTCTGGGCTTGCTATATTTACACGATTTGCTCTGAAGACCCTGGGTCAGGAAACTTTGTGTTCTTTACAGGAAGCAGATTATGAGGTGGCTTCCTATGGTCGCCAGCACAACTGTCTTGGAATTCTTGGGGAAGACACTGATTACTTGATTTATGACACTTGTCCCTACTTTTCAATTAGTGAACTCTGTTTAGAGAGTCTTAACACTGTCATGCTCTGTCGAGAGAAGCTCTGTGAAAGTTTGGGCCTCCAGGTGTCAGACCTTCCTCTGTTGGCATGCTTACTTGGCAATGATGTTGTTCCAGAGGGCATGTTTGAAAGCTTTCGGTACAAGTGCTTGTCTTTCTACACTTCTGTGAAAGGAAACTTTGACAAAAAAGGCAGTGTTATCTTAGCTGTGTCAGACCACATATCTAAAGTTCTTCACTTGTATCAAGGTGAGAAAAAATTAGAAGAAATGTTACCTTTGGGACCAAACAAAGCTCTCTTTTACAAAGGAGTGGCATCCTATCTTTTGCCAGGACAGAAATCTCCATGGCTTTTCCAAAAACCCAAAGGTGTAATAATGGAAAAGCAAGCAATAGCCATAAATTCAGAGGTTTCCCTATATACAGATTCTGATTCCAAGCCAGAAGCTCCCATGTGTACAGATTCTGATTCCAAGCAAGAAGACCACATGCATACAGATCCTGATTCCAAGCAAGAAGTTCTCATGCGTACAGATCCTGATTCCAAGCAAGAAGTTCCCTCTGAAATCAAGCACAAATTATCTGTGGGAGCAGATCCTGAATTGAATCCAGAAGCACCTATATATATATATCCTGAAAGTAAAGAAGAAGATCTTATGAATGCAGAGGCTGAAATAAAGCAAGAGCTAACCATGGTTTCAAACCCTGAAATCTTAAAGGTAGGTGAATGCCTTCCCCCAGTTTTAAGGTAATCATAATGAAAGTGTACCCATTGATGAATTTGTTAAGGATACACATAATAGGAATCTCTGAGTCTCAAAATGATGATACTATGCATATTGTAACCTACATCCCCCAATGTCCATGAATATAATGGGAAAATGACTGTTGGAATTGTAGGCTGAATTGTGTTGTTGTAAGGTACAAGAAGAAAGCCCCAAAGAGGTAGAACCAGAAAGAGACATTTGGGGGACCAACATTTGCTTTGAATAAACAAACATGAGGATGTACGAGCTCTACAGAATACATTTGGACCTTTGTCACTGAGGAGCACAAGAATTTCATCTAGGCTGAAGCCTAGGGTTTGGGGAAGGGGGAGAGAATTAAAAAGGTAATGTAGTTACAGTTGTATTGGTTAAGTTATTAAATGCCACAGTCAGAATTTTGAGCTAATTCTCAATGTACTATGGAACATTTGAAGATTTGGGGGGAGAACCACTGTTAACCTGAGTATATGAGTTCTGTGCTAGGCATAATGCTTATCTGTTTCCATTTGACCTGCTCAGCTCTCTGAAAAAGACATTATCCTGGGGTTTGCTTTTCTCCTCTCGTGTTGGGGATCAGAACCCCAGGCCTCAAACATACCAAGCACATGCCCTACCCTAGAGCTGTATCTGCAAGCCCATTATCATGGCTTAGCCATGTAAGTCTACATGAATGTCACGAACCTTTGTGCACAACTTTGTCTCACTATCTTTCATCTAGTCACAGAATTCCTAGCTGATACAGACCCAGGAATTTGCTCCTACTTTTCATAACAAAATCTTACTGTATCTTGATGCTTTTATCTATTAAATGAGTTGTGGATTTGTATAGTATCCATTTCAAACCCACTCTAATTCCAGCTGTGTTTTGCTTGGCTTCCTGTCTTAATCTCCAAGATCTCTTCCTAAGCAGACTTCCCCATTGAGTCTCTGTCATGCTTCATGTAGAAATAAAACCCTTTATGGGGCTGGGGGTTTAGCCCAGCAGAAGGGCGCCCGCCCAGCACGCACAAGGCCCTGGGGTTCAGTCCTCAGCCCTGGGAAAAAAAAATAAAACCCTTTATTTCCATTTTGTAACTCTTGGGCAAAAAAAATAATATTGTAGGTCCTGGGACATGGGTGCCTGATCCCCACCTGTTTCTTGTCTCACTGGTACTCTGTGGGTTCTCTAGTCATCACAGCCTCCTGTGGACTCTTTTCCTTCCTGGAAAGCCCTCCTACCTCTCCTGCTAGTTAATGCTTACAAGTCTTTTCTGCTAAAACTGTGCATTGGGCACAGTGGTTCCATGTTGATGTGATATTTCTTTTTCTGAGATAAGGTCTCGCTGTATATATTTATCCCAAGATGGCCTTGAATGCTTTTTGCAACCTAGCTAGTCTCAAACTCCTGATCCTCCTGCCTCAGTCCCCCAGAGTGCTGGAATCACAGGTGTGGCCCACCGGGCCCAGCACCCATGTGTAAGTGATGACTAACGTCTTTCCTCCTAGTCTGGCAGTGCCAAGGGAAGGCCCTTATTTCTCAATGCTGTAGTCCTCATGCTTAGCATACAGTCTCATCATAACTGTTATTTAAATGTACTTTTTTGTACTGTCTTTAGCTTTACTCCTTAGTGGCTTCTTCCCTTCCTGCTGTACAGGTATATCAATCTCTCTTCTCTTTAAAAAAAGTCATTAATCTCTTGGGCTGGGAAGGTGGCTCAGTGGTACAGTGCTTGCCTTGCATGCATGAGGCCCTAGGTTTGATTCCTCAGCACCAGAAAAAGTTGGAAGTGGCACTATGGCTTAAGTGGTAGAATGCCCTTGAGCTGAAGAGCTGAGGGACAGTGCCCAGGCTAAGAGTTCAGGCCCCACAACTGACCCCCCCAAAAAAAAGTCATTAATCTCTTTTCTGTTGTATTCATTAGTTAGCAAATAAACTATAAGTTTCAGTAAAGACAAGAGTTAATAGATGATCCTGAACCTTAACCCATAGTGATTCTATTTAAATAAGTAAATAAATAAAATATCTGGATGCAACACAGCTTCTAACCTCCATCAGCTCAGTTTGTTAGGAGAGGTGAGCCCTGTGAGTGAAGGACGGTTAGCTCCTCTTGGGGAAGGAGGGATGGATTTGTGGAAGAGACACTAGAAGTCAGCCCAAGAGGACTGAAGTGGGACGTTGGGGAGCAGTGGCAGAAAAGATGTTCCAGATAGGATTTTTGACTTGGAGCATAAGGGAAAGTGATAGAGGACTGTTCTTGGGAAATGAAGATATTTTGTGGCAGTTTCTATAAGAGCAAAGTGGTATGCCAGCAGATAGGATATTGAGGCCTTATGGTAAGGGCAGAAATATCATGGTAAACTTTGAGGTAGCCATTCAAATATCCTGCAGAGGGAAATAAAGAAGAATCTTTTTTCAAGAAGACAACACGGTGGTGATGTGAAAGATGGGTTAGAAGGGAGTGTCAGTTAAGAATCTTATAGTGACCCTGGAAAAAAGTGAGCACAGAGTTACGGGGAGGTCTCATGTAGGCAAAATAATGAAGTACTGCAGAGGTAAATATGGTGACTGGTAGATGATTGCAGGGAGAGGGAAGAACATAAAAATATTTTGAACCTAGTAGCCCAAAGGAAAAAGAAAAGTACTACTTGATATGAGTTTAAGTGGCAGGTACTCCTTTCTGAGTACCTTAGCAAAGCTGCCCTGTTGTGGGCTCTGTTGACTGTTTGTAGTGGAAGGCCATTTTGTTTACAAGGAAAAACCCATTGCATTTGAATTTTGAACAGGTTGCTAGGATGCATCACGTACATGCAGAAAGTTACCTGGTGTACAACATCATGAGTAGTGGAGAGATTGAGTGCAGCAACACACTGGAGGATGAGCTGGACCAAGCTCTGCCCAGCCAGGCCTTCATCTACCGTCCTGTCCGGCAGCGGGTGTACTCACTTTTACTGGGAGACTCTAAAGGTGAGAGCAGGTTGGTCTTTTGTAGCGATGGCGTGTAGAGCTGAAATCCGAGAAAATGCCTGATGAACTAGAGTTCATTCTTTCAGACAGGCAGACAATTAAACAGGTTTTACTCTTCTTTGAAATCTGTGATTGAGAATGGCATTCACATTTGTAAAAAATGAAAGATTAATGTCAGATATCTGTAATCAGCAAGCATTTGATCAGTCACTTATGAAAAACACATTGTTTTATGAGATGTTTTATTTTTATGCCTTAAAGGGATTTTTACTTTTATACATTGTCTTTAAAAGTATAACATCTTTCTTTACAGTTTTTGTAATTCTCAATTTTTCCCATTGCTGTTTTCATCATGTACTTTAAAAAAGAATAATAGAGGAGGGGCTGGGAAGGTGGCTCAGTGGTAGAGCGCTTGCCTTGCATACATGAGGCCCTGGGTTTGATTCCTCAGCACCACATAAGCAAAAAGAAAAAAAGCTGGAAGTGGCACTGTGGCTCAAGTGGTAGAGCGCTAGCCTTGAGCTGAAGAGCTGAGGGACAGCGCCCAGGCCCAGAGTTCAGGCCCCACAACTGGACCCCCCCAAAAAAAAGAATAATAGAGGATCATCAATGTCTAGAGTTTGATGTTTTCTCTTTGCCTCATAAAAGTTTTTCACTGTAATTTAGCTAAGTGCACAGAAAGTTCCAGTGCCAGAAGCAATATTTTCTGTGTTATTTTGTGGTGGTACTAAGGTCTGAACTTGTAGCTTTGCCACTCACTAGGTAAACATTCTACCATTTTACCTCCAGTTCTGTTTGCTGTGGCTACTTTTTGTCCAGGCTAGCCTAGACCTTGAACCTCCTATTTATACTTTTTCTTTTCTTTTCTTTTCTATTTTTCTTTTTTTTTTGGCCAGTCTTGGGGCTTGAACTCAGAGCCTAGACACTGTCCCTGAGCTCCTTTGGGTCAAAGCTAGCACCCTACCACTTGAGCCACAGCACCATTTCCGTCCTCTTCTGAGTTGTTTATTAGAGATAAGAGTCTCATGGCCTTTCTTGCCTGGGCTGGCTTCAAACCACAGTCCTCAGATCTTAGCCCCTAAGAAGTTAGGATTACAAACATGAGCCACCAGTTCCTGGCTAATTTACACTTTCTTTGTTGAGCTGAAGTCTTGTGTGGTAAAGTCACACAGGTCCCAGGGGGAGATACAAAATAATGCTTTTCCTGTTGGGTCCAGCAGGTACTACGTTTGTAAAGCTCTTGTCTGGACCTTAAAGGGACAGACTAGCAACAGGCCTAGAGTTCTGGGGTAAAGGTTCTGTGGGTCTGTACCTGGTGAGGGCTAGACTTCAAGAATGTCAGCATTTAGGGATGGATAAGAAGAGAACAACTTTGCAAAGGGAAATCAGACTAGTTAGGGAGGCCCCACAAGGAGTAGGGGTGTTAACAGCTGAGGGGGAGACATAGTGATTGCAAGACTGTGGGCCAGTAGCACCCCTGATCTCATGGCATCATCCCAGTGGGGCAGACTAGGCGACTAAAAACTAAAACGAGGAAAGCCACTGCTCACTTTACTGTCCAAAAGCAGGAGAGAATTAGTAACTAAAGAAAGATGTGGAAACGGGTTATACCGTGGGGGAGGGACATACAAAGCAACAACAACAAAAATCACCTTATAAATATGTTAGAAACAATCACAAGAAAGAAAAAAACATTTGAGTCCTTATCTTGGGGTTCATTTCGCCTAACATCAACTTATCTGACCTTTTCTGCTTGTCTCAGACATATACTAGTTACTGCAAATAAGGGAAACCATGGGATCTATGTTTCTTTGGGCCTGGCTTACTTCACTTAATATAATTTTTTCCAAGTCTTTCTATTTCCTAACAAATGAGGCAATGTCATTCTTTTTGGTGGAGGCATAGAATTCCGTTGTGTATATATACCACATTTTCTTGATCCATTCATCTCCTGGGTGGCATCTGGGTTGGTTCCATATCTTAGCTATGGTTAATAATGCTGTGGTAAACATAGTTGGTATAATTTGGGAAGGGGAAGGGAACAAACAAATTGTTTAAATAGGGATACAGGTGGACCCATTGCAACAATGAAAGGCACAAAATGCTGTGTCGAAAAACAAACTTTACAACTTTGGTGGGGGAGAGGAGAGAGGGTTGGGGGGAGTTGGGGAGAAGGGATGGTAAGGGGAAACAAAGGAGGAGGCAACAATGCTTGATAAGAAATGTACTCATTGCCTTGCTCATGTACTTATAACCCCTCTGTATGGTATTTTCACAATAAAAAACATTAATAATTAAAAAATTGAGAAAAAAAAAGAAAGATGTGAGACCTAGGAGCTCAAACACAGGAACACAAACCAGGGGCTCAGGAGACAGGAAAAGGGTCAATTAATATAAAAGGTCTCAAAGCCAAAAGAGCCTGCAGGCAATAGACTAGTCCCATCACCATGAAGAGAAGGGCCGTGCTGGCATTTAATGACTTAAAAGACAGGCCAGGCATTCACATTGCCACGCCTAGTAAGGGAAAAGAATTTAAGTCACGCTGATTTGCAGGTGTCTGGGTGGAACTGGGTTTAAGTAGGGCCTCACACTTGGAAGGCATATTTTACTGTCACCCCCCTCTGGACCTTTCTGAGATAAAATCTTGTGTTTCTGCTGGAAACAGACTGGACCATGACTCTCCTATTTGTCATTCCTATGTAAGTGGAATGACAGGCATGTGCTACCATGTCTACTTGTTGGTGGAGATGATGGAGTCTTAGAGCAGTTAAATTTATTCAACATACAGAGCTTTTGTTCTAGATTATTGCTACCAGTTTTTAAATAGTCTCATTGAATAGTTTTGATACTGTATTCAAATAATTCAAGACCAGAAAGGATTCTCATGAGCAGGTAAGGTGGCTCAGTGGTAGAATGCTTGCCTTTCATGCATAAGGCCCTGGGTTTTATTCCTCAGCACCACATAAAAGCCGGAAGTGGCACTGTGGTTCAAGTGGTAGAGCGCTAGCCTTGAGCTGAAGAGCTGAAGGACAGCGCCCAGGCCCAGAGTTCAGCCCCTATGACTGACAAAAAAAGAAAAAAGGACTCATATTCCAACAGTTTTTCAAAGCATTTGTTTGCAATAGTGAGACAAAAAGACGTCATTCCTGGACCTGTTGGCTAACTCCAAGGTCCTGGCTCTTATTGGAATTAGAGGGTCACCTTCAAGCTTTAAGATAGGCAGCAGCTGATGGTGACTGTAGTCACTCTAGTCCTTTGGATAAGAGATGAACTTGTGAGGCAAATAGGCACTCATGGACCTTACAAGGTTCTTGTACCTTCTGACCTGTTGTCTTCTTTCAGATGGAGCTAGCACTGACCCAGTGGTCAAAGAGTGGTTCGTCTACCCTGGGAATCCACTGAAACACCCAGACCTTGTCAGGCCGCTGCCAATGACTGCTCCAGGTATGGACACCCTGATCTATTAGTAAGTCTGCTATGCAAATGCCTTTTTTCAGAGCTACGTGTGAACTGATTGTTTATTTTAATCCTGGCCATTGATGCCCTGCCTCAAACCCAGAGATCAGTCAATAAACACCACAGAATTTATCAGGATTGGGCTCTGAATATTTACATAAATCAACTCTTCAGAAATGTATTTAGATGAAGAGAAGTGAGAAGAAAGGAGATAATGAGATTATTGCACCTAGAAAAACAAATTTTCATAGTTTGTATCTTGAAACTTAATGAGAGGGGAAAAAAATAAAGTTCACTAAATATTGTATGAAGTGAATCTAAAGAACAGTCTCCCTACAAGTTCTCAGTGTATGAACAAGGCCAAGAGTGTCAGGCAGTCCCTTTGTCCACATGTCCCACATGTGAACAGCTACGGAGGGAAAGGGTCCGGAGTGTCTCGCATTCATGGTGTGTCCTGTGTGTGGACAGAAGAGAGAAGAAAGGGTTTAGTACTTGGGTTGCTACATGGGAAGGGATTCAGATGTATCCAGCACTCAGGGTGTGCACGAGAAACAACTCCTGGGAGGGGTTAACAGTGTCCAGTTGTTGGAGTTTGTCCTAGCACTGGAGTAACCTTGTGTGTGGACCATTATAGGGAGGAAGTCAGGAGTGTTTGTAGGTGAGGATGTTCAGGGTATTAATTTGTGATTGCTATAAGGGCAGAGAGAGACTTTTTTATATTTTTGGTGGCTGTTCTCTCTTTTTTTTTTTTTTTTGGGTCCAGTCGTGGGGCTGAACTCTGGGTCTGGGCACTGTCCCTCAGCTCTTCAGCTCAAGGCTAGCGCTCTACCACTTGAGCCACAGCGCCACTTCTGGCTTTTTTTCTTTTTGCTTATGTGGTGCTGAGGAATTGAACCCAGGGCCTCAGGCATGCAAGGCAAGCGCTCTACCACTGAGCCACCTTCCCAGCCCTGTTCTCTCTTTTTGAGAAAACATTTTTGTCAATTTTTATGCTCTTATTTTCATGTACTTTAAATTCTATGATATTACTACTAATTGCCATCCATAGAGTTTGTAATGTTCCAAATAGAGAGCTGAGCAATGCAGATGGCTTCCTAATAAGTGGAATTGATTTAGTATGTTGCTGCCTGTCCATAATCCTAGAACATGGGAGAATAAGACATTAGTCATGAGTTCAAGGATAGCCTGGGCTACAGACCCTGTTTAAAATAAAGTTAGGGTTGCGCTAGAAGTAATTGGACAGTTTTTTTTTTATTGTAGGAGGTATTTCATTATTCTGTTCATTTGTGATGGATTCAGCCCTAAAAATGAAAGTACAAAACCAAATTGATGTATTAGTAGGAGGCGTCTGGGAATGTGGCACAGTGGTAGAGCACATAAGACTGTGGGTTCAATCCTTAGCACTATATGGGATAGGTAGATACTACATTCACGTTTGTTTTTAGGAAAATGATATTTTTTAAAGGATAATTGATTTTTTTTCCAGTCCTGGGGCTTGAACTCAGGTCCTAGCACTCTACCACTTGAGTCACAGTCTACTTCTGGCTTTTATTGGTAGTTTATTAGGGATAAGAGTCTCAGGGACTTTCCTGCTCAGGCTGGCTTTGAATCGTGATCCTCAGAGCTCAGCCTCCTGAGTAGCTGGGATGACAGGTGCATGCCATCGGGGCCTAGCAATAACATTTTAACTGTTTCATTATTAAGTGAAGTAAGCAGGCCGGCCCATAGAGGCAGAGGCTGCTGCTTCCTCTCCTAGGTGGGAGCTACAATTAGTTTTTAAACATATAGGTAAATTGAGTAGTATGCAAGTGTATACAGATGTAGTAACTGAAATATAATAGAAACAAGGGAAAATTCAAGTAGTGTAATTCCTTAGAAAGGTGAAGTCCAAGTTCAACAAAATAAACACCAGGAAATGGTAACTTGAAAGGGGTGAGTGGACTCAAGGGAAGAGGGGTAGAAGGGTGAGAATGCAAAGGAAGGGATGGGTGAGAATCTGGACAGGTGACATTGATTAAGACCCATTGTATACATAAACCACTGTGTTGAATGCAACTGCTTTGTATAACCACTTAAGATTATTTTTTAAAGTTTTATTGTACATGTTATTTCCATCTCATGTATTTTTCCAAAAGTATGTGGAAAATATCATTGTTCAAATCAAAGAATATTGCCTATTCATTGTACCATGAATTAGTCTTAATAAAGATACTCTATATCAGTCAGTAACATCATAGGATTTATCATGGTTTGTTTTGTTTTGTTTTGTTTTTTTGGTCAGTTGTGGGACTTGAACTCTGGGCCTGGGCACTGTCCCTGAGCTCTTCATCTCAAGGCTAGCACTCTACAACTTGAGCCACGGTACCACTTCTGGTTTTCTGAGTGGTTTATTGGAGATAAGAGTCTCACGGTCTTTCCTGCCCCATCTGGCTTTGAACCAAGATCCTCAGATCTCAGCCTCCTGAGTAGCTAGGATTACAGGCATGAGCCACTGGCGCCTGGCCTGCTTTTTTTTTTTTTAACTCAAGACTTCTCACTTGCTTGCTGGGAGCTTTACCACTTAAGCCATACTTCCAGCCTGGTTTATTTTTCCTGTCTGGGATAAGGTCTCTTACTTTCCTGCCTAGGCTAGACTTGACCCATGCCCTTCTGCTCTCAGCTTCTGAATAGCTAAGATTACAGGCATGAGGTACTAGAAGTCATAAGAATCAGAGAGGCTCCTAGGGCTCTTGAAAACATTTCTTGGCAATACCTAGAGATACAAAACTGACGCAAGCACTGCTGTGGACCACTGCCAACTTCCTTGCCACAGCTCAGACACAAACAACATGGCTCATAAACTGAACTTTGTGGTCAGCGACTTCCATGATAAGTACTTATTTTAGTGTATTTATTTGGCAGTACTAGGATTTGAACTCAAAGCTGTACATTTGACAGATTCCCTACCATTTTTGCCATGTGTCCAGTTCTTTATGCTTTATTTTTCTTTTTTTGACTCTAAACCAAGCTTCATACTTTAAAATTACACTTAGTAATGAAATTTAGTTTACATTAGTTGTATACATTGTATACAACTGGGGGGGGGGACTAAATTGTGGTATACATTCCATTCATTCCAGCAATGAGAAAACACCATAGTGAGTCATCATTAAAAGTATCCATTAATAAATTTTATTCTCATTAAATGAGCAGAGTCATAAGCATATTAATAACATGTTCATTATCACATATCCATCAGTGCAACTTTCAATTCTGCTTAAAACATGCATATCCTCCTAGAGATGATCATTTTCCACTGTTTGTTATGTGGTACACATTACTGCAAAGCCATTATAAACTTGCTTTAGTTATTTTTCAGATAGGGTTTCAGGTTTGCCTGACCTCCTACTTGTGCCTCTCAAATAGTTGGGTTCCACCTATGAGCCACTAGGTCTGGCCTTGCTTGTATTTATTTTAATGGTGCTAGATAGAAGAAACGATTTTAAAATAGCCAGGAGGAAAATTGCTGACTGATTGTTAATATTGTGGGGGAAAATGATGAATAATCTTAGAATAAGGTTAGCAGAGCGTCCAATTGCCTGGTATGGGCTTTCTCACAAAGTTCAGGATACAAATTATGGAACCTTGATGACTACTCGTGAAAATGCCTTCGGAGTGCTTTGTTGCAGCCTTGGAGCCTTCTGAATTGGTGGCAGAAGACAGTAGTTCTGTATTAGAGTTGACTCTTACCTGGGTTTTCTTGTTCTTGAGAAGTAGTTTGCATTGTTGGCCTCATAAAAGCTGTACTTGTGGTTTTCTTCTTTTTGTGTGTGTGCGCGTGTGTGTGCACGCACATGTGCTCACACACGTGTGCACAATAGTCCTGGGGCTTAAACTCAGAGCCTGAAAAAGCTAGCATTCTACTAATTGAGCCACAGCTCTACTTCTGGCTTTTTGGTGATTAATTTTAGTTAAGAGTCTCACAGCTTTTCCTGCCTGGGCTGGCTTTTATCAGTGATCCTCAGATTTCAGCCTCGTGAGTAGTTAGGGTTTGAGCCACAGGCACTGGCTCTGTTCTTTCTAAAGACCTTTTTTTTCTCTAACAGCATATGTGGCTAAGTTTTTGCTTTCTTAAATCATAGCAATAAGAAAGAAGTCATGGATACTTTTCAACAAAGTGGGAGGGAGGCAAAGAGTTGCAGAAAAGGTAATAGAAATTCCTTAAAGGTTAGGAAGAAGCCAGGCATTAGCGGCTCACACCTGTAATCCTAGCTACTTAGGAGGCTGAGATTTGAGGATAGTGGTTCGAAGCCAGCCCAGGCAGGAAAGACTGTGACACTCTGATCTCCAATAAACCACCAAATAGCCAGAGATGGAGCTTTGGCTGAAGTGGTAGAGTGATAGCCTTGAGCAAAAAAAAGGCAGGGACAGCTCCTAGGCCCTGAGTTCAAGCCCCAGGAATAGTGTGCGCTTGTGTACACACACACACACATACACAATCAGGAACAGGAGCTGGATATAGTAGCTCATACTGGTCAGTCAAGCAATGAAAAAGTAATTATGAATTTTTGGCCAGCCAGATTGAGCTACATAGAAAACCAGTGTCAAAAAAAAAGAAGGGAGAGGAGATGGGGCGCGGGGGGGGGGGGGGGGGAGAATGGTCAGGAACTAAAGTTGGCCATTCCTGGAAGAAGAAGGAGCTGAACGGTCCTTTGGTCCCTGGTTGCTATTAGTCCTTGTTTCATTCACATGTATACAGTGAAATCCTAATCATTGGTAAGATGGTAGGAAGTAGGGCCTTTGGAAAATGGTTAGGTAGATAGTAAGAGAAGTTGCTTTTCTCATTTTCCCATGTCAGGACACAGAGCATGTGCCATCTATGAACTGGAAAACTGGCTCTCAGCAAACACCAGCCATGCAGGTGCCCACTCATTTGGCTTTAACTCCTCTACATAAGTTGTTTTCAAACTTGTGTGTGCAAAATAATCAGTTCAGAGACTTTAATATTAATTTTCCAGGATCTATGGGCAGACTTTCTGATAAAATTTATGTATGCCAGGTAGTCTTGATTTAAAAAACTCCCCAAGACAGGATGTGATCTTTGGACCCCATGCTCTGTAAACCACTTCCCTAAAGTATAGTGATGTGCATCTGCAATCCCACCTATGCAGTGTTGTTGGGATTGCAGATGCGCATCACTATACTTGACATTTCCTTTTTGTTCTGGGACTTCCTTTAGCTAAGATACTCCTGTCAACTCCCAGTAGCATTACAGGCACTTCATCTAGCTTACACTTCAGGAATTTCTGTTGGATAGTTTAGGGAAGTGGTATTCAAACTGTGACTATGGCTTGAGGCTAGCCTGAGCAAAAAGTACATTTTCTGAAAAGTAACTAAAGCAAAAAGGGCTGGAGGCATGGCTCTAGTGATAGTATCTGCAGAGCAAGCATGAGGCCAATTTTAAAAAATATATTCTTTTTTTTTTTTTGTCAGTCATGGGGCTTGAACTCTGGGCCTGGGCGCTGTCCCTCAGTTCTTCAGCTGTCGACTGGCACTCTTACCACTTGAGCCTCAGCCTCACTTCGGCTTTTTCTGCTTATGTTGGGCTGAGGAATCGAACCCAGGGTCTCATGCATGCAAGGCAAGCACTCTACCACTGAGCCACCTTCCCAGCCGGCTGTTGTATCCTTGAGTCAGGTATTAAGTCTGTTCTGAGATCATACAAGTGAGTAGGAGTGAAAGTTCCTAATATGCCTTTGAACTTACTCATTATAAAGAAGAGATTTTCAGTAAGGTCTGTTTGCAAGCCCTTTGCTTTCTTTTTGTAAGGGCACTGCTCATGTTTGCCTAGTTCCTTTTTGTTGTGAAGCTTCAAGTATACTATAATAATGATAAATGGACATTTTAGGCTTTTTTTATTTTTGACTAGGGGGAACACCTAGTTTGGAAGTTTTGTGGCTGAATCTAGAACCAGCAGCACAGAACCAGCGCCTGGACACACTGCTAGCTTGCTTCAACCTCTCTTCCTCAAGAGAAGAGCTGCAGACAGTTGAAAGCCCGTTGAGAGCTCTGTGCTGCCTCCTGATCTACCTCTTTGTCCAGGTAATGTCCAGTTCTCTGTTTTCTTTTTTCTTTTTCTTTTTTTTTGTCAGTCGTGGGGCTTGAACTCTGGGCCTGGGCCCTGTCCCTCAGCTCTTCAGTTCAAGGCGAGCACTCTACCACTTGAGCTACAGCGCCACTTCCGGTTTTCTGGTGGTTTATTGGAGATAGGAGTCT